TATATGAATGAATCCCACAAACATAATGTTGAGTGAAAGAAGCCAAACACAAAAGAATACATATTGCATGACTCCATTTATATAAATTTTAAAATAGGCACAACTAGTCTGTGGTCTTAGAAGTCAGAATTGTGGTTTTCTCTGGGGAGGAGGGAAAGAGATAATGATTTGGAGATGGCAGGAGAGAAGCTCCTGGGGTGCTGGCAATATTCTCTATTGTGCCCTGAGTGGTGACTGCATCAGTGCGTTCACTTGGTGATAATACATCTAAATGTATACGTATGTTAAACTTTAATAAAATAATTTATTTTAAAAATTCAAAATATACACAAAGTGAACAGGAAATAAGGATGTTTCTCCAACCCCACTTCTCCATCTATCGAGTTGCCTTCCTCAGAGGAAATCACTGAAACATGCACCTTATGTATCTTTCTAGATACAGCTTATGAAGTATACACAGTCTTTTTTTTCGCTTGAAAAATTTTATTTTTAAATGATCGTATTGTAAAATTGATTTTTTCATTTGGTGTACAGTTCTATGAGTTTTTAAAAATTATTTTATTGAGATCATATTGGTTTACAACATTGTGTAATTTCAGGTGTACATTATTATTTATCAGTTTCTGTATAGACTGCATCGTTCTCACCACCAATTGTCGAGTGTTTGTCCTTCACCATACATATGTGCCCCTTTACCCCTTTCACTCTTCCTCCGCCCCCTTCTCCTCTGGTAACCACTAATCTGTTCTCCTCATCTATGTGTTTTTTTATCTTCCACATATGAGTGAAGTCATACAATATTTGTCTTTCTCTGTCTAACTTATTTTGCTTAGCATTATACCCTCAAGGTCCATCCACGTTGTTGCAAATAGCACCATTGTGTCTTTTTCATGGCTGTGTAGTATTCCACTGTGTGTGTGTGTGTGTGTGTGTGTGTGTGTGTGTGTGTGTATACACCACATCGTCTTTATCTATTTATCTGTTGATGGTTCGGAACTTGGGTTGCTTCCACATCTTGGCTATTGTGAATAATGCTGTGATGAATATAGGAGTGCATAAATCTTTTTGAATTATTGATTTCTAACACATATATAGATTTATGTAACCACCACTACAATCAGGATACAGAACACTTCCATCAACCACCAAAAATTCCCTTTATAATCACATCTTCCCCTGCCATTAACCCCTGGCAGTCACTGATATATTCCCCATCAATATAGCTTTGCCTTTTCAAGAATATTTGATTTGTTTTTATTACTTAAAAAATCTAACAAATTTGAAGAAAAAGAAGATGTTGACCGATACTGTGTTTTTGTCTACTTGAGTCAGAACAAGATTTTACACTGAAAGTAGAACTTGGAAGTACATAACCTCTGGGCCAGAAGAACTAGTTCTCATTGAAATATATGCCAAGAGAAGTTGTGATAGCCCTTTCCCCAAAGAAGCTTTTCAAAAGGGGTTATTTCTATTGAAAATAGTTAAACTAATGATGAAAAAGTTTGGAGAAGATTGAAGAGAGAAGGAATAAAAAAATTCGTGGATTCCAATTTCAGTCCTACTACATTTTTCCACTCTTCTTCGTTTCTTTATAAATTGGTGATCAGACAAAAGCCAGTATTTAGAATTCAACCACTTTCCTATTGTTGATTCAGGTCTTGGCTTTAGGAGAGGAACAGTTACCGTGGGCATCTGAAAATTACTAGTCAAACTGGAAGAAGAGAGCCACAGCTAACTCCAATTTTCCATTTTAATCATATGAGGAGATGCCTCCAGGGGTGGTAAGCAAGGAGCTGAGCAAGTCTCACTAGTTAAAGGGAGATGCTTAGGGAACAGGTAGCAACTCTGAATAGGTTCCGGAAATAACAGGACATGGAAAAAGCCAGTTCCCTGTGCTGGGGATGAGCAAAATATTTCTCATGTTTTGTATAAAGAGACTGGTCCCTGCCTCCTTCTTTTTCTTACTCATTTTGAAGCCACAAGAAAATAAGCTACACTTCATACAATATGACATGAATAAATTAAGTGAATTAGACACAAAATTTGAAATACATGCATATTGTGAAATGAGAAAAATATTTATCGGAATTTCAGGGGAACCTGGGAAAAATGTACACAGGACCGGTGGGCTTCACCATACAAGAGAAATAGCCCAGAGCAGAGGGAGTGCTTAATGCTTCTCAAAGGGCTTCATATGGCAGGGAGAGTCATAGATGGAGAGTGTGGACTTGTGGAAGGACGTGAACTTCAGGAATCAGTTTCAAGAGAAAGTGAGGAAGAATGGGGACCAGAGAGATGACAGACGGCTATGTGCTCCTCGATATGGCCTTTCTCCCCTATACTTCACAAATCTTGAAGAAAAATACAAAAATCCTCCTATGCTTAGTGTGTTTTTGGTTTATTTTAGAAGATGGTGAGAGGAGTGGGGTTTTGGCCAGGTTCTGATTAGAGGCCTCAGAAAGCCTGTGTGCATTTAGAAGCAGAAAATGATTCAGAGAAACACAAGAAAATACAGGCAGAACTACAGAAAGAACTCTGAGCTCTCAGTTCTGTTCCATTAATCTGTGTCTTTTTTTCTGCCAATACCATAGTGTTTTGATTAGCCTTGTAGTATAGTTTGAAGTCAGAGAGTGTGATACCTCCAGCTTTGTCCTTTTTTCTCAGGATTGCTTTGGCAAGTCGAGGCTTTTTGTTGTTCCATATAAATTTTAGGATTCTTTGTTCTATTTGAAGGGATAAAGAAGAGGCGGTATATCTATACACTGGAATACTACTCAGCCATAAAAAGATGAAATCTTGCCATTTGCGACAACATGGATGGACCTTGAGGTATTATGCTAAGTGAAATAAGTCAGACAGAGAAAGACAAATACTGTATGATTTCACTCATATCTGGGAGATTAAAAACAACAACAAAACAACAAACAGATACAGAGAACAGATTGGTAGTTACCGGAGGGGAAGGGGGTGGGGGGAGGGTGAAAGGGGTAAAGGGGCATGTGTTTATGGTGATGGATGGAAACTAGACTTTTGGTGAACATGATGCAGTCTATACAGAAGTTGGAATATAATGATGCACACCTGAAATTTGTATAATGTTATAAACCAATGTGACCTCAAAAAAAAAAAAAAAAGAAGTCTGAGCTCCCTGTGATCCTGGAATTGGGGTTCAAGCCAAATATACTAAATCTTTGATGAGGTCTAAGGTAGACATGGTGGTTTGGTGTTCAACTCATGTTAGTGTGTCATCCTGTACTGCAGATGATGGAAAGTACACACACATTTCCCAGACTTCCCTGCAGCTGAGGTTCTGAATGTGATTTAGGTTCAGCTAGTCAGATGCACATGCATGAGACTTAGAAGGTGGGATATGGCTCTTGCTTCATTTCTTCTGCCTCTCCTGACAAGCACAGTGGTGGAGATGTTGTTATTCTTCAGGAGGGTTAGTAGCGGTCCCAGAGTCCAGTCATTAACCTCACGGGAGTTATGGCATATACCTTCAAGAGGTAGTGCATGCCGCACCCATTTTGCTGGTGCCGATTGTACTGGATGTGGCATGTTTCTGGAGCTGGTAGCAGTAGTATTGGCTTCCTGACTGTGGCAATAATATCACGATTCTGGAGCCAGAGATGTACTGTACTGACTGTATGGAGAGACAGCAGCACTCCTTGATGGCTTGGTTTTGTGATGTGGCTTTGAGAGTCATTTATGAAGGCTCAGCTTAGTGTGTTTCTTCAGCCCGCCTTAATGATTCTATAAGCCATAACTTGCTTCTTCCTTAAACAGCTAGAGTGGCTTCTGTTCTCTGAAACTGAATCCTGACCAATAAATGATGTAGTACCAGGAATGCTTGCAGGCAATAGTTTTTCAAGAAAATGGGAAACTGGGATTGATTATATAGCTTGATTGGATTTGAAAGCAGTGACAATTCTGTTAGTATCAGAAGACGGGATGTTGGTAGTACATGGCACATAATAGAAAACCAATCAAATGATCACCAGTAGGCATCTGCAATGAAGCAAGTCTTGATGGACTAGGTAGCTGCTCCTACAGATTATTTTGACACTAAGGACGAACCCACGAACTGTTAAATAGGATACCTTCCTCTAACTGTGCTCCAGAGGTTTAAGAAATAAAATGGCAATCTCAAGATTTAAATGCCCAGCTCAAGGAACAGAAGACAATGAGATTCTATTCTCTTATCTCTTGTTGACATAGAGCTGACAGCTGAAAATTAGTCACAAAGTCTGATCCTACGGATTGGTAAATTATAATACACATTGAACTCACAGCCTTGTCAGGTCACTTTTGTGAAAGTAAAGGCACTTGTTAGGTTATAATGAGACCCCTAGAATAGAAATGGGGATATTTGGGTGGATTCAGATGAGTCTAAGTACTTCACCAATGAGCCGCCTTTGCCAGTAGAAGCATCTCCTGTTTGATGAGGCTGTTTCTGCCTTGCTTAAACACCTGAAGTTACTTGCAAGGGAATGCCAATTTTCCTCCCCTACCACCCCTACCACCTCTCATTGCTTCCAGACCTGTAACCAGAGGTAGATCACAGTATGCTCCAAGGATACAAATCTCAGTCTGACCTGGAAGGAGGTAAGAATTGCAAAATTTTGCTAACTTATAATGGCAGAAATCTGGAAAATATGTGTGGGAATGTATTCTGAGGATACTATACCATGAAGGAAGGAATGTAATTTTAGATTGGGCCAAATATGTCAACACCTGAATACTTACCAGAAATTCTGTATTCAATCACTAGCTTGCCCAGTTGAAAGTGGTTCTATTTGCTTGGTTGACTGAAGCCAGGCTGAAAACTAGCCCATATTAAATAAAGTTGATGTGCCAGATGTTCCTTGGTATGATGTGGGATAAATACTCCAAAGACTTTGGGAAATAGCAACACTTGAGTACATTTATGATATATTACCCACTCACCTACATCCTAACCATGTCCCCCAACGGGACCCAGAGAATGTTCTCTTCCCCAGGGCATTGAAAAAATACACTGATGAAAGGAGCCTTATTATTCTTGAGACCGGCTACAGTGGCAGTCTTCAGGAGGCCTGGGATAAAGGTGAGAGATGCTACCACTGAAAGGAACTTGCTAATTTCAATGAGAAAAATGGGATCTTAGAATGGCAGAGACCAAGTGGCAGCACTGAATGACCAGATATGGGGTGAGCATGGTTAACATGGTAGAAGCATGGCCAGAGAATAATCTGAATGTTTTGACCTGCACAGAAGTGTGGCAGTGGCTAACTGTTCTTCAGGTCCCTTAGATGGAAGTAAATGAGCAGCGTACTAATTCTTACTTGATCTTCATAGCCCAGATATTTCTGTCTGGCGAACAGAGATCCTATTTGAGTCATTATGATGGAGATTCATCACCTCTCACCCACTTTGCAGACCTGAGTCAGTTCATGTACCCAAAGGCCCTCAAAGGGAAAGCCAGGTACCCTTAAGGAAGGACTCTGCAATACTATAAGCACGTGTTGTAAGTTTTCTAACTTTCCTTTTTCTTTCTAGCCAGAGGGACCTGTGGCCATTTACCAGGATAACCATGCACTGGGCAACTGGAAATACTCATACTTTTCAGAGATTATTGGACACTGACTCTGAGCTCATTGTCTATCAGGGCTGAGGGCTGGTGGTTAGAATACAACAGTCATCCACTGGTCAGAGTCAGGGCTTATGGAGTCAAGAGACTGAACTTTATCCTGAATCTGTCTACAATGGGTCCGATGGATCTGCAAATACATCATATGGTTATTTCTTAGTTTCTGAATGCACATTTGAAATAGCCGTACTCAGCAACTGGCAGATCTACCACATTTGGTAGAAGTGGCCATTTTGGGGAAGCCCACATGGCAAGAAACTGTGGGCAGCCTGAGGAAGCTGAGGGCGGCTGCTGGGAACTGAGAGAAGCCTCTAGGAGCTGAGGGCAGCCTGCAGTTCACTACCAGCAGGAAGCTGGGGCCTCTAGACCTACAACCATAATGAAATGAATTCTGCCAACAGCTTGAGTGAGCTTGGAAGTGGATTCTTCCACAGTTGAGCCTCTACATGAGAACCAGCTTGGCCTGACACCTTGTTTGCAAGCTACTGAGATCCTAAGCAGAGAAGCCAACTAAGTTGAGCCCAGAGTCCTAAGCCACTGAAATGGTGAGATGATAAATTTATGTTGTGGTAATTTGTTCCATAGCAATGGAAAACAAACACAGCGTTCAATGTCCATTCCACATTTCCCAGATTCCCTTGCAACTAGGATTCTGGATATATTATAGGCCAATCAGATGATACTCGTGAGACTTGAACGACAGAAGGGAGGTGGAGGCTATGTTTGTGGCATTTCTGCTGGTAAACGTGGTTGTAAAGATGTCTGGTTGTTCTATTGTAACTTAGTCACTAGCTTGCGGAGACTGAGAGGCTTGGCCTCCATTTTGCTGGTGGAAATCATAGCAGGTAGAGCATGGTTCAGGAGGTAGCAGCTGTAGTGTTGGTTTTTTATCATGGCAGTGGGAAGTAGCAGTTTCCTAATCATAGAAGAACTAGCAATTTCCTTGGTGGCTTGGTTCTGTGGTGTAGCTTTGGAAGTTGTTCTTGAAAGCTCAATTTAGAGTCAGTCCTCTTGATAATTCTGTAAGCCACTTAATGTCTTGTAATAAATTTTTTCCTGCCTAAACCAATTAGAGTGAATTCTGTTCTCTGCAACTGAACCTTAACCAATATAAGAGAGAAGTCCTTAAGTGATAATTAAGTGTAAATAAAAATACATCAAAATAAATAATAGTAAATTAAGTAAACCATTTTTCATGTTTATTATAATATTTTTATAAAGACAAGTAAAGCCACCTTATAACACATTTAATTTAATTTATAATGCACTGGTTCAGTTTGAGACAACCACGTAAGATTTTTAATATTAAGAACAACCCATTTGTTTAACAAGTTAGTAACTATAAAACTATGTGCTCAGCTTGTTTTTCTTGCAGAATCAGAAAATAAACGTTTGTCTTTTTAACTTACATTTATAATCGTTTTGCAACTCAAAAATCTCTTTAAGTATTCAACTTTAATCTAAGCTAAAATACAATACTAAGTAATCTTTAATATTTTGACTTTAAAATCATATCAAATATTAATAACATATGCTCTTAAGAAAGTATCTTTTTTGAAAATACAACTGACAAAATATTCAACAAAGTATGTGCAATAGTGTCTTTGTAAGCTTAGAGCCTTTCTAGAGCTATTGTAGTATAATTTAACCATCACTGCATAATAGCAGAGGTGTGATAGTTTAACATATAAACGAGTAACTAAACTCTAAAATTAGGACACCTTTCAGCAAATCATTTCTGAGAAAAGGCAGAGATGCTTATTTACCAACTATCTCTTTAAGTGGTAATTTCCTTGAAAAGACAAGATTGACCAAATCATTTTAAAGACACTACTAGTGTTTGGCCAAGCCCAATTTATGAAACTTTCAAAGAGTTAACCTAAAACTTCTCGAGTTTTTCTGAAAATAACATATTCTGTGGTGATGCAGCCCTCTGTGTTAGGCCTTGTTCACAGTGGATTCTTGCCAAAAGCTGATTACACCAATTTCCTTCCAGAAAGGGAGACTTCTTGGGTCACACTAAAGGATGTATACCCTTTCATTGTTTCACAGCTGAAAAGTCAAAGGGCTTAAAACCAAAGTCTTTTGTGAAGAAAGAAGCGCCAATGGATGATTTCTCCCCACATTTCCCCAAGTCAATTGATTAATAAATTGCTGTTGTCAGAAACAGCACAGAAGACTGAACAGATGTGGTTGGTTGGTTTGTTTTTTCTTTAAAGTGCTAACAAAGCCCATTATTTCTAAATGGACTTTCACTGTAATGACTGAAATATAAGCAGCATAAAGTATATAGAAATTACATACCTCAATCGGATAGTCAAAACTTTTTAGACAGATGCCAGCAGTTCTGTACATTACCTTAACAATCATTGCACACAAGTACACTTTATGAACTTGCCAGACTAATATAACAATTCAGCGTATCTAATCTAAAACACGACTGATGAAAATCCAAAATCTAAAGCTAGAACCAAAGCAGTCACGAGCTACTCTGAGTCAAATGCCCCAACAGCAGTGCTCAGAAGAATTTCAAGTAATTTCTCAGTCTAATGACAGACAATACAGTTAACTGAACTATTTCTTAATCCTTCTGAAAAGGCTGGCTTTACCCAGCTTCAATCCAAGTCCAATATTGTTTTCCCTTATATCGGCCCAGAGTTTTGAGTTCCTAATTTGTTTTTATCAATATCAGAGTTAGAAGTGAGTCAGCAGCTTCTGAACTGCTCAAGTAGGGCGAATGCAGAAGCTACTAAAAAACCATTTATTATTAGAAGACTGAATGAGATCAACTTTAAAAATGAGGCCCCCATATGGTGATCTTCTAGATAATTAAGGCTATATAGATCTAAAAGCCTGGCTTTCTAATAGGACCGAGACAATTTGGAAAGTAAGGTCTATCGATTCATATCAGCATCACTAACACTCAAACATAACAACACATTTTCAAAATTATCATATGTAAATAGCAGCACAAACTAGTAATCTCCTTACTAAAAGTGACATGGTGGTGCCCTCTGGTGGTAACATTTAGCATACTCCCCTAATATTGCATATCTTGTGAAATATAAAAAGCACATCTGTATTGGAAAATATCAAAATTAGAGATTACCACAAAGGAATGAATCATTGTGCTTCCAAGTATCTTTTTTTTAGCCTTCAAACACATTGGTACCAAGATAAACCCCTGACCCTACTCCCAGGAACCAAGTGGAAGCTACAGGAATCTTGGCAGACTTATCTACGATAGGCAATTCCTGTTAAGATATTTACATCTTGGTTCTAGAACTCAACTGAGAGGTTTTTGCATTTTCTAGTTTGGCTTTTACATCTATGGGTTTCTCAAAAAACCTCACCAATGCCGGTTCATTCAACAAAGACGCAAGAATCTGTTCAAATGCAAATGACCACTGAGGTTCTTCCCTGAGAGAGGAGGGATCTTTCTCCAAGTGGCTCTCTATTTTCCCCTCACTGGATTCTCCGGAAGCACAGATTGCACCAGAGAATCCTCTGGCTGATGATGTAGGGCTATGTAGTTTCCTTCCAACTTCTTCCATCCTGAGCAAAAGGCTGGTTACAACAGCAATGGCTTGATATAATGACTCTTCTTCAGGGTCCCCATGAAATAAGTTATATAGGGTCTTTGAAAACTGAATAAATTGTGACTAGAAGACACAAGTTAGAAATATCACATTTGATATTAGATTTAGCAAATATAAAGAAAATTTAGAAGTGAATAGTATTCTATTTAGAATTTCTACCATATAACTTTCACCATAGCAGTTACAAGAACTTATGATTCATCTCAAAATAAATCTTGGTTCTAGAAAGATGGGTATGAACCATGGAAAAAACTTCCATTTAAGTCTTCTCACTTGTTGGCTAATAGCAGTACATTATATAGATATATTATTTTTATATACAATAATTCCTGGACAGTTTCCCTGCCAACATTCCTTCAATGTTAGGTGGTACTTTTAATTTAGGCAAAGTCCCATATTTCCTTACATGTAAATCATTCACTCATTAACCAATCTTAACGAAAGGATTGAGAATGAGTTTCCCTTGATCTCCCCAAGGGCCTGAGAGGGAAGCTCAACGAGGATGACTTAAATTTAGGGAAGAAGGTTTTGAGACCTAACAGTACAAGGTGGCGCTAAGGAGCCCATTCGGACATGCTTCTCTTTAAAGACTGAGGTGGGACCCAAGTGGAGAAATAAACTGGTTTGTTTGCTAATTGCACCTATATAATCCATTAACATTCCTAGAAGATACGTGTCAATTAAAAAGAAAATCCCAGCACAAGAGTCCTATAAGTCAATTATCCTACCAGAAACGTTTATCTGTAAATAAAAAGCAAACTCAAAGGATATACTTCATAAAAACATATTGTACCAAACTTTTAAGTTTTATTTTTCTTTCTTTCTTAGCCTGAAGTACTGTTTATTTATAAAAATTTTAGAATAAATATGCCATATTGATTCATTTAAAAAAGTACTTATTCAACTAACTATCAAATTACCTAGTCCACTGAGAAATGCTAAGTTACTTGATAGTTCTCATTTTGATAAAGTTCTGGGAATCCTCTGTATCTATACCAACAGATTTTAATTAAAAAATATAATATACACTGACTGAATAGTGTGTAAGAAAGAGACGGATTTAGAATTGCGTCAATAGTAGCCATCAGTATTGCTTGAGTAGGTTCAAATAGAAGATGATTAGGAACCAGGGTGTGACCCACTTTAGTAATTTCTTCTTCCTAGTCAGTATCTAGCACTGGGTGTGTCATCCTGCTAGGTACTAAAAACACGTAGAATAAATGAACATTTCCAATAAAGCTGGAAAAAGAAAACACTGAAACATATGTTATACATACATCTTTTGTGTGTATATCTTTAAGTATATTTATCTTTATGTGTTATACATACCTCTGTTCTACAAGTACAAATGTTATCATAGTAGAGGAACTATACTGAAACACTAGATGCATTTTAGTGTTTTAGAAAATCATTTAAATTTTATTAATTAATTAATTTTATTACTTTAAAAAATTTCCTCCCCCTTTTCTTGCTCACCTGAAACTTACAGGGATGATACATAGACTATTTAACTACTTTTGTAATAACGTTAGCTATTTTATTTTTTTTTGAGGAAGATTAGCCCTGAGCTAACTGCTGCCAATCCTCCTCTTTTTGCTGAGGAAGCCTGGCCCTGAGCTAACATCCATGCCCATCTTCCTCTACTTTATATGCGGGACGCCTACCACAGCATGGCTTTTTTTTTGGCCAAGCGGTGCCATGTCCACACCTGGGATCTGAACCAGTGAACCCCAGGCCACGGAGAAGTGGAACGTGTGAACTTAACAGCTGCGCTACCAGGCTGGCCCCAACGTTAGCTATTTTAGAGTGGGATACATCCATACTCATGAAAAAAACAAGAACCTAGAATTTTTTCTTTGAAAATACTATACCTGATTCATTCTTGGTAAATCCTTAATGTTTTCTTCTTTTTTGAAAAGCTCATCTTGCCATTGACTTAGATATGCTTGAATATCAACTTTTCCTTTGCCTGAATGAGGGTAATAAAACCATCTTTTAATCAACAGCCCACTATATTTTCCCAAATTTCAAAAAGAATAGTTATGATTGAAGAGATATAAGGTTGAGATATAAGATTGAGATATAAGATTCCACCTTTTTAATCTTTTACTTCACCCACCAACTCTCAGAATATGTTCTCCATTTCAATTAAACTAAAACTTTTACTTTGGGAAGATTGGGAACTAGGGAAGACGTGGAGAGACGGAGAAGGATGCATTTTAGATGTGCACCATGGCTTGACGATGTAAATTTCATGTAGACGTTCTCATGCATACTCATTAAGTTTAAAATAGCTTCAATATGATGTTCTTAATATGCAGACACCAAAGTGGCTTATGGTGGCTCTTTTTCAAAAATTCAAAACACTACTTATTCACTCATTCCTTTGAAGAGTTCAATCAAGGTGATATAAAAGTGATTGTATTAATGATTATTTAAGATCCCTTGGAAAACTAGGTGGATATACTAAACAACCCGGGAAAGTTGTCGTATTTAAACACAGCTTCAGCAATTATTTAACTAAATGTTACTCAAAAACATAAAAGGAATGATGGGCTTTTGGAGAACAATTGGCAGCTTCCATCAAAA